TTATAAGTATATTTTCAAGTCCACATTTACCTCAAGTTGCCCCTTTTGAAACAAAATATTTTTTATTAATCAAGTGTTATTTTATTTTTTTAAATATTTTATTTCTGAAAGATTACATTTTTTTTCGAAATCATTTCCAGTATGTTGTATAGGGTATTTTTTATTTTGTATTAAGCTGGGAGTTACTAGAAAACAAGGAATAGAGTTAAAGAGCAAGTAAATGGTTGCCAGAAAGTTTGTAGGTTGTATGAGTCAGGAAAACATTAAGATGGGAGAGAGTTTTAAAAGGTTAAAGTGCAGAGAAAAAAACTACTTGAATAAAAGTTTTAAAACATCAACTCAAGCAAAAATGTGTTTTAGTTGATGTAACTAAAGATGATAGCTCCTTTGAGCAGCAAACAATGATAGTATTTGCAGAAAAGAGAAAGAGATGCAACTCTATGACAATAGGAGAGAGACTCATATTTGGCAGATAGAGCATGTCCAACAGCATTTACAATGCGTTTTTGGACGTTGTCTAGAAAAGAAAGAGCATAATTAGAAGAACCAGCCCTAATATGAAAACATTATTTGAACAAATATGAGGTTTAAAGTGGAACAAATATGAGGTAGAAAGTAGAATCAGGAATAAGAAAATGGAAAGCACAATAAAGTCAAGCACACTTAGCAGATGCTAATTTAGAAATCAATTGTATATATGATTTCCATGAGAGGTTAGTAGTGAAAGATATAAATAGACATGGCAACCTACAAATAGAAAAAAATTGGGAACTGGAGGGGTAAGAATGTTCTTCAGAGTTTTTATAATAGAAAAAAAAAAACAGTTGTCATTTTTCATATGGCAGGAAAACAAGATTCAGTTAAGCACTTTTTTAATAGTTTAGAGATAATTGAAAAACGAGTATGTGGTCCGGACATCAGGAATGATGTCTGGACCACATACTTAATCATACATAATCATGATTTATCAACAATCATTTTTACAGATTGGTAAATATACAGTATTATTCACAATTTACACTGTTTGCTCTATTATTTGTAACTTTTATAAAAAAATTAAGAAACTGAAATTGCTTATGTGTAGTGTGTGTGGTGTTTAAAAGATTATCAGTTTATTCAGTTAATATATAGAATTATAAATGTGGCACATAGGATAGTATAGCATATTATAGAATAAAGCATAGCCAATGTCAGCAATATAATTAATTTCTAAATTTTATTTAAAATATAAATGTTGAAGTTTTTTTTTTTACTCTGGTATTTCGTTAACCTGGAGTAGATTTTTAATAAAATCTGATGTGTGTTCAAACTCGAGTCCACTAGCCTAGGTGATGTGATGCTGAAGTAGTTTGAAATTATTTTGAATCTAGAAGAGTACAGTGTTTTTTGCAAGCTTTTCTCTTTTTTTCAGAACCATCATCACCTAGTAAAACTGTATCTGTTGTGCCAAGTCCTCAAAACAACTCCTTTCTCAGCTTCCAAAAAAAGCCACAGACTCGTCAAGCTACCGAGTTGTTTGGGATTGGCCCTGCAATATGCGCAGATGATGGAACAATCACAGGTATTAGGCTGCCAACTTGCTTACAAGTTTTAAGAAGCATGACTGTTTACTGCTACATTGCATGTACCACTGCAATGTAGCAGTATCAACTGGTGCACCATCAAGATTTACAACAGCAAAAGTAGTGCTGAAAAATATTGCATCGCTGTATGGAAAAGATAACATACTGATGGTTACAGAAAGAAGAGTATGTGAGAAAATAACCAAACTCTTAGATGATAACAACAAACTTCGTTCAATCAAAAAAAACTGGAAGATATGCAATCCATGTTGGCATCGACATTCCAGCTCTGGCTGCCTAATGTTGAAAGTCTTGTCAAGAATCCAGAAGATCTTGCATTCCTCCAGTCAATGAAAGGGGATAGAGCTGCTAGCTTTGGTGCATTTGATAAGGTACTTGCCCAGAAGATAGTCAGACGCCATGATTGTGATTTTGCAGCAGCATCTGAAGTATACTTGTGATGAAATTGAAATATTAAAACTGCCTGTATCATCAGAAGTTTTGACTGAATCAGAAGACAGCAATGCTGACGAATCAGAAGAGTCTTCCTATGAAGATATGGATTTGGAAGCTCTGAATCAACAGATAAAGCACTATCTAAAAGAAAACCAACAGGAACAATGGCCTTTATACCTCCAAACTTGCCAAGCTGACCAAATCTAGTGTCATTGGCAACAAGACTTGAAATGACACCAGCACAGCAAGCTGCATTCACCCAGGGATTGATATCTGAATCTGGTGGTGGTGTTTCAATGGTTGCTTCTTCTTATGCCACTGCGGATCGTGCTAGGTGCAAAGTCATAGGTGAGATAGTGACAACAATTCAAAACACCTGGCAGCCACCCAATCTCCTCACTCTGCATTGGGATGGAAAAAGTTGACTCCCACTCTCAACAATCCATGTATGAAGAGCATATGACTGGTTGTAGGTGATGCATCACAGCTGAAGCTGCTCAGAGTTCCAACTTATTTCAAGGCAACAGACATGTCAGTCAGAGAAATAATTGCTTAGTTGACGGCGAAGCTGCTAAAGTAGTGGCATTGTATCGATCAAGTTGTGAATATTACATTCGATACAACAAGTTCAAACACTGGCCATCTGACTTCAGCTTGCATTGCCATACAAGATAAGCTACAGCTTGCTCTCCTATAGTCAGGTTGTTGTCATCATGTTGGTAAAGTCCTGCTCTCTCACGTCTTTACTGACTTGAAAATAGAAACATCCAAATCACCAGACTTTTCACAAGGTTGCAAAGCAATTGAGATCTGGTACCACATAATTCAACTCAGATAGTTCCTTTTCAGCCCGCTGATCATGACACACAGTTGCAAGACCTATTGACTAAAATGAAGATTGAGATGATTGATCGTGCTGCTAAAGATGTAGAATTTCTGCGTGATGATTACTATGAGTTTACTGAACTATCACTTGTGTTTTTATCTGCATCTAACGACGATGTGAAATTTTGGAGACCTGGTGCTCTGCATAAGGCTCGATGGATGGCAAAGCTCATCTACAGCCTCAAAATTGCACTCCGTGAGATGCAAATTGAAGAACTGCTAGCAGGAACCATTACCACTGATCATCAAGTAACCAAGGTGCGTTGTTTTGTCACATTTATTACACATGTCTGTGGTGTGTGGTGATTTACATGTAAGAGGACTGTTGATTCACCATGGAATAATCTCCAGCTGTACAAGCGCCTTTTAGAGTATGAAATTGTTGACAAGGATATATCTCAGTCTGCAATTTGAGCACTTAATCTTCATCTTTGGAATCTCACAGCTGAAATGATTCCACTTGCTCTGTTCAGTGAATGTGTTCCAATGTCAGAACAACAAGCTGTGGCAGATGCTTTGCTTAAACTCAGGCCTGTGAATATCCTAGAAGCTCCACTGGATCGCTTTGGCAAAGGCTGGGAAAAGCCACGTTTTCCAAAGTCCCTCAAGTGCTAGACACGACTCTGTGACCTTGCTGGAGTTGATTCAAGGTTCACAATTAATCGGCTTCTGCTGGACACCAGCTTCCTGTCAGTGACCGGAGCAAGTCTGATGCTTAAATTTCCAGTGCCACAAATGTTGCAGCTGTAAATGTTGTTAATGGTTGTGCCAAGAAAGGTGTCAAATTAGCATCAGACTTTGTCAAAACTGCCAGATTCGACAAACACTTTCAAAACGTTCTTCAAGTTGTCGAAAAAGATTGTAAAGATGCTCCAAATCTATGCCAGAAATGCTGCAACAATGAAGTACTGTGATTATATAAGATGAATGGTGCTTAAGTAATGATAAAAAGCATCAAACTATTCAATGAACTAACAGTGCAATTTAGATTCTTTCCAAATTTAGAGCAAGCAATCAGCTATGTAGTTGTTTTAGTCCTGTTAATTAACTTAAAGTTGTAATTTAGGGCTTCTTATATGGCCTTTACAAGGTACACCAAATATCTATGCGCAACATGGCACTGTTAATACTCTGATATTTTACTGCTTTGGATGAAACCAACCTCTCTGAGAGCTACCACAGAGTTTGATAAATCTTACTACCACTTGACTTCAAAACCATTTAACTGAGTTTTAAAACTGTACCCATATTAGGAGATAACAGGAAAAGCCAATCAACCATGATTGCCTCCATCGAGGAGGTACCGGCAATAATCTATAAGTAGAGTCATAAAAATACAACACAGATTTATATCTATGGTCAGCAAATTATTGTGCTTACTCCTAAAGTCTATGCCTATAATACCAGTAACAGGGTGATCAGGATGATCTTGAAGCTGACATGACCTGGAGTAGTTAACAGTTACCTCCTGTAAGCAGTAATTTTAAACATTAATGGGAATTTTTTGGAAATGCATTAGAAAAAACATTACAAATAACTAGAAATTTAAGGAAAGCATAGGTTTTGTAGTTAGAGTAACTACTTGGTTTCTGAGCTCACACTGCATCAGAGAGTTAAACAGAACACAATCATACATAACTTATGAGTGGACAAACACCACACCAGAGATTTAGACAGAACACAAACATATATATTGTAACTTATGAGTCAGTGAACACCACTCTAGAGGTTTAGACAGAACACAAAGATATGTTTTATGGAATAATTTCCAGCAAAAACAATTTTTACTAAATCAAATAACTTTTGCTTAAAAAAATATTCTAAGAACATTTATTGGAATAACAATTTTTGAATTACAAATGGATAACAAATGGATAACAATTTTTGAATAACAAATTTGGTTATAGTTTATTACAATTTTGCTTATATTACTTTTAATAGTCAGCAAAATGTTTCTTATTTTTCTTATAGTTTCTTATTTTTCTTATAGTTTCTTATTTTTCTTATAGTTTTTTTTATTATAGTTTTATTATTGATATTAAAAACATAAAAATTGTTTACAAGAATAAATATTTCCCAATTTTTAAAATTTTTCAGAATGGTTAGATCAGGATATTTTGTGAACAGTATACTTCTTTCTGCAATTGTAGCCAATCAGTCTGTTGTTGAGAAAGTCACTGTTAAATTACACCATTTAAATCAGGTTATTGTTAATTTTTTTTATTTTTGTTGCTTTTTTTTTATAGATTTTATAAATTTATATACTAAAAAAAAGGTGGATACTGAACTTGAAACTATTGAAATTCTATCATTTTTTTCTCATACTTTTTCTTCCTATCATTGTGCAACTTTCAACTAATTAAAGGCTGTATGAGATATAATTTTTATTTTAAAAACACATAAAGTAGTTTTTCATTTTTAAAATTTTCATTTATGAAGAATTAAAAACAGACAATCTTTATTTGACTTCATTTATATTATTCTAAACTACCATTGGCTTTAAAAAATTTCTTTTAATAGAAATTTAATCTTAGAATATTTTTGTATTTTGGATGGAATTATGTTTACTTTTATCTCTGTGTAATAAGTATGTTTACTTTCACTTTTGGGCAATAAGCATGTTTGTATTCATTTTAGATAAAAAGTATGTTTACTTTCACTTTAGGGTAACAAGTATGTTTACTTTGATTTCTGGGTAATATGTATGCACCCAGAAATCAAAGTTAGGTTCTAGAGACTTAAGTAAAATTTTCACCAGCGTTATTAACAAGGTTAGGTCTATTACTCCATCTCTTATTTATGGGACTGATCTTATTACCTCTTCCAAAGATAAAGCAGAACTATTTGTAAAGAACTTTTTATTAATTCGACTTTTGAATCATGTAGCCATACTCTTCCTTCCATTCCAATTAAACTGGTTAGCCCATTGTTAATAATTCAAATCACTCTAGCTTCCGTTACTAAAGTCATATCTCAATTAAAATCTTTTATGGCTTGTGGTCCAGACAGCATTTCTATCATAGTCTTACATAAGTGTTTTCCAGAACATTCTTCAATTACCTCCATTTTTTGGGCGCCAGGCACAGCTGCACTTGTGGGCTTAGGTTATTAAGGCATTGGCTCTAAGTGGGAGTTTTAGTATATACATTTTATGGTTTGAGTTTTGTCTTGGAAATGTTTAATGGTTTTAAGCAACCCTTGAAAATATTTTTAGAAGCTATTTTTTGAAATCCAATATCATTTTATAATTCAAAGGTATGTTGTATTATATATGAACACATCCACTAAAGTTAAAATTACACACTCTAAAAAAAATTTTCAACTTTTTTAAAGATAAAAAGAATAATTTTAATAATAAGATAAAAAATTCATTCCATGGTTTAGGCACATTTAAATGTAAAAATGTCTAATTGAAACAAGTATTTTAATTTGCAATACCCAAACAATACTGTTTCTTTAATAATTAATAATTAAATAATTTAATATTGATACTGATAAACCTGGTTACGAGTAGTTTAGTACATAGCACATGAGAAAAAAAACTACATTGTTATGTCAGGGTTTTAAAGTAAATGATATATGTAAAACATAATGTAACTCAATAAAAGTCAAAATTATGTAATGTAAATTTTATCGCATTTTAAAATAGTGGAATAATTAGTATTGTTGAATAACTTTAGTCTGGATTTGAGGAATCAGTTTGTGCATTTTGGAATTCAAGTGGAAAGTAAGTTTTTTTGTTTTTTTTTAATACTAACTTTAACTTTTTAAGTTTTTATTTTTTTTATTTTCATTTATCTTTTTATTTTTTTACTTTATACTCAACTTATATTATTTTATACTAAATTTATATTATATTATCTTTTTATACTAAACTTTATTTTAAACTTGATGTTTTTAAATATATTTTATTTAATATTCTCTTTAATTCATTTTTTATTTAATATTCTCTTTAATTCATTTTTTATTTAATATTCTCTTTAATTCGTTTTTTATTTAATATTCTCTTTAATTCATTTTTTAGTAATTTTCAAAGTCATGAGAGATCAGATAAACACAAAGTTATTAAGTTGTATTTTGTTCGTAATATTTAACCAAAAGGTTATTGATTACAGTAAAAATTGTAAAATAATCAACATTCACAGATAACATTTTATGAATTATCTAAATATTTTTATTATGTATTTATGTATTATGTGTTTAGATATTTTATATAAAAAGTTTATATAAATTTTATTTTATACAAAAAATTGTTTATAGTTAATTTTATCTATTATAATAATCAATAAATCTTTATACGAATACATACATTCATAACTTGTAATGTAAAATATTTTTTTTATTACTGAGTATAATAGTATACTATATAATACTGCTAAAAAAATAACTTCAAAAAGAACTAATTGTGAAATAGCTTAGCTGCAAAATCGCATATTTTGAAATCTTTCTAGAAAGGAATTCCTTGTCAGAGAAAAACTTTGTGTTGAAGAATTTGAGAAAAACAGTGTAGGATAACTAAGATTGGATATCTAAAGAGGGGTTTTGTTATCTAGGTTGTATTCTATATTTTGGTAGCTCTTGCATTAGCCAAAATTTTTATAAAATAATAAATAATTGCCTAAAATAGTTAATAAATACATTTTTGTCTTAGAATATAGTGTAAAATAATTTTTGTCCTAAAATATAGTTTTAGCAAAATGGCATCTAGAAAACAACAATTGTTTTTCTATTAACAAGCTTTGTAGTTGAATTAAAAAAGTAAAAAAATATCTTACTGTCATATCTGTAGTATTCTACTAGATACATCACTAAATCATAGTGATACCTCACACTAAATCACAGTGACACCTCACACTAAACCACAGTAACACCACACACTAAATCACAGTGACACCTAATGAAGATCACTGTATCACCTCAAACATAAATTGTATTAGAGAACAAGGTTATATAGTTGTTTGAAACAACTTTTTTTTAGCTATAAAAAAACAAACATTAATTCGAGTTTGCAAAACAATTGAAAAAATGTTATTGGAGTTTTATAAACTAAAAAAAAAAATTAATGAGTGCAAAACAAATAAAAAAAAATTGATTAGGGTTTGCAAAATGTACACACAAAATATACATATTGGAAAAATGTTTTGTGGTCAAATGAGTCAAAAGAAGTTAAAAAGGGAAATTGACATTTATTTATAACAAAATGGGTTATCTACTAAAAATTGAAAATGAGATATAATTATTTAAGCTCGTAATGACCCAAAACATGCTGCTAATAAAATAAAGCTATACTTTGATACTAACAGTCTCAATATTTTAAAATAGCCATCCCAATGTTTGGACTTAAATTCTATAGAAAAATAGTATTATATTTTGGACATATTTTTAAAAGTTGCCAACCAACCATCTAGACGCAAAGATGATTTGAAAGAAGTTATAATGAGTACATAGGACAACAGAAGAGATCCGAAATTTGGTCAACTCAATCCCAAATTGTTTAGCTAAAGCTGAAAACTTAATAATTATTCCAATGAAATTTTATTGATTTGACATCATTTTTGAACGATTATCTTTTTACATTATTTATGAATAATTAAGTTTTTTGTTGTAGTTTTATTATCAAATTTCTAAATTTCCATTGTACAGTAGAAAACATTTTTTCCCCGATCTTTGTTTTTTGTAATTGAAATTTATACTTAAGAATTTGTTTAAATTTTGTTTAGTACAAAAATGTTTGTCATAAAAGATTTTTTTTATGTGTACAATTATCATTTTTTGCATACTTTATATGTAAATATATTCAAGACATACTTTTTAAATAAACACTTTTAATTATTTTGTTATACATAAACATTGGCAAAAAAAAAAATCATTTGGGCTTACACATTAGACTGTTATTACTGTTGTTATTGGTGAGTTTGGAATATTTTTTAAATTTTCTTTTTAACACTGCATGTTGAGTCAGACTTGATTTTACCTTGAAATTGTTGTAGACTGAATGAAATAGTGTTTTTGCTATAACTTTTTTCAATTTTTTTGATAGGTAATACTGCCAAAAGGACTTTCTGACTAATATGATACCAAGATTTTTTGTGTGCATTGTTTATGTATTCATCAGCATTAGTTAAAAATATTTTTTTATAAATCTTTAATTGTATTGTCTGCTAAGTGTCCAGCTAAACTGTGATTAAGTCATAAGAAGCTGTGCATCCTGTTATACTTAAAAAATCATTTTTGATCTTTTGCAAGCCCTTGTGGTAGTGTTGTTATTTCAGGAATGAGACTTGATGATAGCAAACGTTCAGAAACAAATGAAACAAACATCATTTCAGTGTGTGATTTTTACCTTTGTTATTTTTCTTATAGATATCTTTATTTTACTTGAGTTACTTTATTAATTGTTTTACTTGAGTTTTGGTGAATTTATTTTTTTGAATGGTTTATTTTATGAATTACAAGCACTTACAGCTTTATATTGGTTAGAAGACAGTTTTTCAGTTTCATTTTTTTTAATAATTTTTTTTTTGTGCAATATGTATTTTAGGGTGGTAGTATAAGTTTTTATTATTGTAGGGTAAAAGTATTTTACAAATGTTTCAAAAAAGTTTTTTTAGAAATATTGATCTTGCATATATAATCATATATGACTTTTTCTTCAAACCACTATGTATGATAGGAATTCTTTATTTCAAAGTCTAAATACTTTAAATTTGCATATTTATTTTTATTTGGTTCTTAATAGTTAGCCGTATTTAAAATATAATTATTATAAATGTTTATCCTTTATTTTATAAATGCACACCTAGGTACCCATTTTGTTCTACTAGTCTTTTTCCGATTATTATAACTTTAAACACCTATTCTATAAGTATGTTATATTTCTGAATATGAACATAACATGGTTTAATTCTTCTTAAAAGAGTCTATACATTGTTTAGAAGATTTAAAAAAAAACTTAACACAAAAAAGAACAACTGTAATGAAAACTAACAATGTAAAATTAAATAAATAGTAAGAAGAAAAAATTAGAAAAGTTTGTAATATAAAAAAAAGAAAAGCTTAAGTTTATGTACAAAAGTTGGCTTAGATAGTAAAAAAATATAAAAATATTAAAAGTAATATTAAAAGTAAGACTTAAATACACGATAAGAATTTATCCACAGACACTTTTAAACTTAATGATATTTAAAGCTTTTTATATATCAAATAAAGTATGATTTAACACTATGTGTAACTTGTACTATGACAAGTTCTGCCGAAATTTGATTCAAAGCTATTTTTTTTTTTTTTTGTATTATATATTATTATACTATTATTTTTAACTTTACTTATTTTCAAGTTATTTGGTCATAAGATTCGTAGTATTAAAAGTATGGTTTGTTTTAATAAATATGTGTAAGTTCAGAAACACACAAACTGTTTCATAACAAAAGTTGTTGAACTGTTTTAAGTGCCACCATTTTTTAATTAGGAAGGATGAAGGGGGTGATTTAAAAATGTGTTTTTATATTTTGAAAATATGACCTGGATATATGTATATGAAATATAAAAATGATATTAATGATTTGTTAAATATTGTAAAATATTTGGTGATGTTGTTTTTGAAATATTTTTAGAAATATTTTTAGAAATATTTTTAGAAATATTTTTAGAAATATTTTTAGAAATATTTTTAGAAATATTTTTAGAAATATTTTTAGAAATATTTTTAGAAATATTTTTAATAAACATTGTTTAATTTTGAGTAAAATTCTTGTAACTCTGAATAACTTTGTTCTTTTGTTAAAGATTGTTAAAATATTTAGAGGATTTTGGTCAACGATTGGTTGTAAAACATTTTATTTATCAAACTACAGCACAACATGTTTATGTTCTCATCTTACAAATTTTGCAATTCTAACTTCAGTTAAAGGATTTCAGGTACATATGTTATGTCAAATTTAAGTTGAGGATTCATTCTGGATAAGCATTAAACAACATATATATATATATATATATATATATATATATATATATATATATATATATATATATATATATATATATATATATATATATATATATATATATATATATATATATATGTATATATATACATTTACACACACACGCACACACAGATATATACACACACGCACACATACACACATTAGCATAGATCCTTATAATGCCAACCTAGCTGATCCAAGAATGTCACTTATATGGGGTAATAGCATACACATCAAGGTACCCTGTAATGCAAATTTTGAAATCGTGTGATTATAAAAACACCTGTGGAAATAAGAAAAACTACATATAATTTGATAAAAATTGGTGCAAATAACATATGGCTACACCAAACTCTGGAGAAAGTTTCAGTTGTATTGGTTTTCTGTTTAAGGTTTTACGGCAGTTTTAGTTTATATTTTTTTAGTTTTTTTCAAAATAGCTTAATATGCTCTTTTAGTCAAATGCTCTTTAATATTTTTAATAATTACTAACAGCAGTTCAGGATTAAATTACTAATAATTACTAACAGCAGTTCAGGATTAAATTGGTTAAAATGTTCATTATAAACCACATGCTATGATTTTTTGCTGTCTAATCTAATAAATCGCAATTAAAGATGCTTACTGTTCAGGTCAGTTATGCAGCATAACAATCTTTCTTTGTACTCTGGACGATTATTTATTTAGTTATACCTTGACCAATGTTTATACAAGTCTTGGGCCCCAATGATCTTTTGTGACTGATTAAATCTTTGATCTGATAGAAGATGGTGGGAATTTTGGGTGTTGCGTTTGCACCAGTTATCATATAGTAACACCTTGAAATTTATAGTTTTTTTTATCAAAATTCAGCTAAAGGATAAATTTGAAGCAAGCTTTTATAACTAAATAGAAACTTTTGAATGCTTCAATTATGTAAAGAATGTTGGGAACCAAGTTTGTATCAGCAAGTTGCTGGAGCACATCCACATTTTTAAAAAGCTTCCTGCATTCATTTCTCTCAAACTGGGCTCTGATACAGGCTCAATTGAATGTAGAGGGCAGCTGGCTCATTAACAGCTTCTATCCAAGCGGTTTTAAGTATCTTAAAAAATGATTGATAACTCCATTAAGGAGATGCAACTCTTTTGGTGGGATTATTTCCAAATTCAGAATATTGTCAGGCCCACTGATGATTAGCTTTTGAATGACATGGCCAAACAACTTTGTACAAGCAACAACTCCACCAGATTGCTCAAGACTCGAGGCTAGATTTGTTTGAGTCCAGTGTTCACAAGTTTCCATATTAGGCAAGACACTTGGATTTGATGTCACACCATAAACAAGGTTGCATACTTGAATGGGTTTAAAAACCACAAATTATATTTGCAACTTTCATATCGCAAGCCAAAATTATTTTAACTCAATTTTCATTAATCAGTGACTAGATTTGTTCAATGTTGGAGTGAGTTTATAGCAAATCTTCTGATACCGCAACAAGTTAACTCTTGTCTTTACCAGTCCTTTAAGTGAAAGGTTGTTTTTGAGGCAGTGAGCTTGTATCAACCCTTAACACAGTATTAACACTGCTTTGACAAAGTTTGAGAAAAACTTTACCACCATTAATTCCGAGCTATGCAAAATATCCACCAGAAATTTTGCAAGATTGAATAACATGCTTCATATGACTTGATGAAGCATTGCAGTGAGCGAAAACCCAAACTGTATCAGAATCTCCTTTTTCATTGGTAATTTTTAAGTCACTGCAGTGAAGAAACCACTCAAGTGTTGACCTGCTTTTAAGAATTTTAGACCATTACTGGGCCAAACCTTTTCCTAAAGGGCATGTGCTGCAATGTACATTACATTTGGTTCTTTCTCAATGGTGGTTTGTTCTTCAAGAGGATGTTTTTTTTGCAGCTTTGAACTACCAATTTGGCAGATTAGGCAATAACATATTGTTCCTTTTTATATATATATATATATATATATATATATATATATATATATATATATATATATATATATATATATATATATATATATTTATGTATGTATATATATATATATATAAATATATATATATGCATATATATGTATATATATATATACATACATAAATATATATATATATATATATATATATATATATATATATATATATATATATATATATATATATATATATATATATATATGTATTTATGTATGTATATATATATATAAATATATATATATACATATATATATATATATATATATATATATATATATATATATATATATATATATATATATATATATATATATATATATATATATATATATATATATATATGTATATATATATATATAATTCAAATTCCTAATTAAAAAAAAAAAATTTAAATTTGCTGAGAGACCGTTACAGATATCAAATTTTTAATATGTTTTACCAAACAACTTTCTTAAGTTGTTTGAATAACTGCTTTGATGTTACCTACATTACCTGGAAGAATTGGTAAAATATGCAAGGAGTGCTGGTCATGCTGTTTTTTTTTAATTTTTTTTTATCTCAATAACTTAAATAGTTATAATAATCTTATATAAAGCTAAATAAATATCTTTATTATAAAAAAAATACAACTATTTATTTCAAGGATGTTCTCAGTATTTATCTGTGTATTTACTTTTATTTATACGCTTCTGCACAAAAAGAACTATGACATACTACTATAATAAGCCTATACAAAGTCTATAAAAGCCTATATCAGAACTGTGAAGACAAATTTTAAAGTTTAAAATATGCTCATATTGACTGTATCTAATATTTTTCAATATTGTGTACTTTTTTTTTTTAGATTTCTAAAACCCATCAAAAAGCTTTAAATACCATAACTCTGATTTTTTCTGGACTTTCTATTTTTTTCTTAATTATTGGAATTATCATTATTCTACTGATATTGTAAGTTATTTTTATATTTCTTTGTTTTTCTAATTTTTTTAGTTAATGAGTATAATATATATGTGCGCATAAAAATATTGTTTTTATTCAATATGTTTTTCATTATTTTTAATCTTTTTATGCATTGTCAAAGTTTACATATTCATTTTACAACACCATTAAATTTTACACATTTGTTTATTTGTATCACAAAATTAACATTTTTTTTACTGTAACAACTAACAAAATTTTTACTGTATCATTTTTTTTACTGTAACAATTAACAAAATTTTTACTGTATCACTGAAGTTTACATGTTACTGGAATTTTTATAGATTTATCTCAATCTACTATTTATTTTATTTATTAAATGTACTAGACTTACATGAAGTTTTATTTTCTTTTCTAGTGATTTTTTTTTTACTTAAGAAACAAAGTTATCTTTATACTTTCTTTTATCAGATGTGTGTCTTCTTTTATTAGATGTGTGTATTCTTTTATCAGATGTGTGTATTCTTTTATCAGATGTGTGTATTCTTTTATTAGATGTGTGTATTCTTTTATCAGATGTGTGTATTCTTTTATTAGATGTGTGTATTCTTTTATCAGATGTGTGTATTCTTTTATTAGATGTGTGTATTCTTTTATCAGATGTGTGTATTCTTTTATTAGATGTATGTATTCTTTTATCAGATGTGTGTATTCTTTTATTAGATGTGTGTATTCTTTTATTAGATGTGTGTATTTTTTTATTAGATATGTGTATTCTTTTATTAGATGTGTGTATTCTTTTATTAGATGTGTGTATTCTTTTATTAGATGTGTGTATTCTTTTATTAGATGTGTGTATTCTTTTATTAGATGTGTGTATTCTTTTATTAGATGTGTGTATTCTTTTATTAGATGTGTGTATTCTTTTATTAGATCTTATTATTGCTTAAAATAAAGTTTTTTTTTTTTCATAATTAAATTTTTATTTCTTTAATAGTGTCATCATAATTAATTGTGTTTTTTTATTTGAATTTTTTATTTTGTTTAGTACTTTTTATTTAGATGTTCATGTTTAGTATTGATTAGATAGAATTTCAAAATACCTTTAAATGACATATTTCTAAATTTTGTTGTTATATCCAGCAAAAAAAAAGCAAAAATATATAGAAATCTTCAAGACACTTTGAAACCTATATTTCTTTAGAAAACCAGTAATAATGTCTCATACCAAATTAAAAAAAACTCTAAATGTCTTAAAAGTTATTTTACAATTACACAATAATGTATAACTATTCAATAATTTTTGCACAAAGTAGGATTTGCAATTCAGATATTTAAATATCTGACTATCTGGCCAGTTTTGAATATTAGTTAATTGGTATTATTTTGCATTGAGTATTACTTAATCCAAATTATTTTGAAGAAATAAACAAAAAATTGTTATATTTACAAATATAAGGAAGAACTCTGAAGTACATGTTACATAAAAAATATCATGCCCTTTAAATTAAAACCATATTAACAAGTATTTTTTGTGTACATTGACGGTTAATCTGAACAAGGCATATTTTTGTACCAGGCTCTGAAAATACAATATCTCTTTGTTTAAAAATGCTTGAAACATTAACTTAATGCATACATGTATAAAAAAATTACTTCAAAAGCTATAGAGTAAAAAGTTACAAAGTTTAGAACAATGTTTTTGTTTGGATGTTTCAACAACATTCAACTTTTAAGTTTAGTAATATTAAATTTATTAATAACTTTAAGTTTAGTAATATTTTTATTTAAAATTATAAACTTTCAATTTATTTCATATTTACCCAGAGTATATATAAATTTATATTGCTTATTCTAAGCATTGCTGTAAACAAATCATTCTCATCTTGTATTCAAATATGTATCATCATGTAAACAAATCATGTACCTTCTTAATTATTTAAATGTTCACAAAATTTACTAATATTCTTTTAATCTTTTTACTAACTGAAAATATGTTTCAGATAATTTGTGAACAAAACAAACCATCAACTTCTAAATAATTTAAAAGTACTTATGCTAACAATAGTATTACAACTTGTTTCTCTGTGCAGGGGGTTCAACGAGGAGGAAGAGGGGCTTTGTTTATCAAGGTTTGTGTTTTGGAGTTATAGAGTTTAGAGAGGGTTGTAAACATAATTTAAGTAGCTTCTTTATTTGTAGGGGCCTTCTCAGCCTTCTAAAGGTGAATCAGCGTTAAAAAAATATTATGAAAATCAAAATATTAGAGGAAATTTTACTGTGTAGAAGATGGTTTTTCAATGAATTCTGTAGTGAAATCACAAGCAATAAATGGATATTTTAAAAGTAAAGGTATTAACATGCCTAAAAGTTTTAATGCTGTAATGAAATACATTCTAAGTTTTTATGAGATGAAAAATAAGACACAGTATCAAGTATCTAAAGAAAAAAAAAATTAAATTTTCACGTAGATGAGTGGGCTGATAGCTCTATGAATAGAACCTAAATGTTACACCTCATGCCCTTGCTAATAATTTAATGAAAGTATTTGACATATGTTTTAGGATTATTTCACAATAAAAACAAACATGTAGTTCCTTTATAAAATATTTATCTGGTTGTGACAATAACACTACAGAGAAGAGGTAAGTAGAATGAGGTAGGGTAAGTAGAATGAAGTAGGGTAAGTAGAATGAGGTAGGGTACATAATAAAAGAAATTGGATGAAAAATTGTGCTTAAAAGCCAAACACTTTTATTTCTATATGCCAACAACTAAAGGCACAAATATTTTCAATATGTTGAAGAGCTGAGCAACATTGTTACTAAATTGTTCAAAAAAATTGTGGTTTTAACAAATACAAAATCAAGGACACAAATAATTTAAATATATCATTTAATTCACTTTTTACAATAAAATCAACATCTACAGCAACAGAACAGGTTTTTCCAATTGACTACGACAAAAATTAAAACTTGTTTGAATTTTACAACTTTTTATGCAATTATTTTTTTGAAATACATATTTGAAAAAAGATAATAAAAATATAAATAATTGTTTTATTGTTTTATATCAATACATAAAAATAATCTGAGTAAAATAATTGAGTTATAAATATTAAATTTATTATCTTTAAAATCTCATAAATATTTCATCTATTATCTTTAAAATATCATAAATATTGGATTTGATCTATTATCTTTAAAATCTTATTTGTTATCTGGATATTTGGATCCAAATATTTGAAATTTTCAGTATTCGATATCCAAATAGTCATTATTGTCAGATAATTACAAACCCTACACCTATGTTTCCTCATATAACACATATTTGTTTTATTTAGAATAGGCTATAAAAAGCGTACAAAACACATTATTCACCTAAATTTGATGATTTCGTTGTTAATTGCTCAAACTGTTTTTGTTTTTGGAGTTGATGCAGTGAAGTATAAGGTATCAACAATTACTGTTCAACTATATTTGTGAAATTTAAAAAAAAATTGTTTTTTGTTATTATTTCTTTATGCATTCAGTGCTTTTGTTTATTTTATTTGCAGGTTTTATGTAAATCAGTTGCATACATTTTGCATTATTTTTGGTTAGCTACTTTCGGTTGGATGTTGATAGAAGGAATTTACCTTTATATTGTTATTTTAAAAGTTTTTGCCGAACCTAAAAAGTATATACGCATATATTTCTTAACAGCATGGGGAATTCCTTTATTTATTGTTGTTATTACAAATCTAATTAACAAAAATGCCTATTCCGTTACTAACCAGTATGCTTATTCTTTTTATATGTTTTTACAGTATATTTTTTAAATTTAAGTCTTTTAAATATTATTTATATTTCTTAAGTAACATGAAACATAATATTTTATATCAAAAATGAATAATATATTTTAGTTGCTGGCTTTCAAACTCATATGATACTGTATGGGCATTTCTTGGTCCTGTTTTAGGAATAATAGTGGTTAGTTAATTATTGCAATTATTTCAAGGTCAGTTAATCAAAACTATAACAATAACAAAAGTTTAATAATATAATGACTAGTTAGTTATAAAAATGTTTAGATATTTATAATAAAATTTAATTACAATTATGTTTATTCATATTAAAACTAAATTATTATCCTCATTACAAAATTATTACAAATATCGTTAACTTATATTATGGCAATGTGTTTTTTTTTTCTATTTATTTGGGTTTGTTTATTTTTTTCCTATAACTTTGTATAATTTGATTTTTTCATTTGTAAAATGTTAGTAGTATTTTGCACTAAAACTGCAAATTAATTTTTTTTTAAATAATTATTAAAAAAAATATGTCTCAATAGTGTTTTCCTACTATTTCAGTATATATAGTAAAATATAACAAATTACCATTGTTACCAAGTGACTTATTCAGAAAAACAAATATGTTAGCTTTTAACTGCACTTAACTTAATTATACTTTTGCTAAAGTATGAGGTGTTATTTTAATAATAATCAGTTAGGTGTGTATCTCAAAAGAAGAGATACATATTAGGTTTTTAGTAAACTTAATAATACAGTTGTTGTATGTTTTTGTATTTTGCGTGACTATATTTAAAGCTGTTGTAGATTTGACTGAAGGCAAATTGTCAGCAAGTCTTCAGATTTTAAAATCTTCAGATTTTACGGAGTTGGACTCCTATTCTATTTTTAGGTAGAATGAAATTCAAAAGATTAAAAAATCGAATTTGAAGCTTAGAAAAAACCTTAAAAATTTTGATCATCTTTGATTTTATTTATAGCTTTATAAATATTATTTATGGATTTCTTTATTTAACTGTTTGATGGCTATCATTTATAGCTTTTTTCATTTAATTGTTCAAATCTATCAATATTAAAAACATTTCTTTAAAAAAGTGTGTTTTAATAAATACATTTCTACACAATCAGAACTTTTCTCTACACAATCAGAATTTTTCTGTACACAATCAGAACTTTTCTGTACACAATCAGAACTTTTCTGTACACAATCAGAACTTTTCTGTACTCAACCAGAACTTTTATGTACACAATCAGAATTTTTATGTACACAATCAGAACTTTTATGTACACAATCAGAACTTTTATGTACACAATCAGAACTTTTATGTACACAATCAGAACTTTTATGTACACAATCAGAACTTTAGAAATAAACAATCATAAATTAAAAAAATATGCAATCTTAACATTATGCAATCTTCAGAAATAATCAACTCAATAAATATTCAATTAAAACTTATTCAAAACTTTAAATGTATTTAAACATTTGATTTTAAAATGTTTGGACAAAAAAATTGTTAATTTTTAAATCTTTAAAAAATTATTTAGATCTCATTTAATTTGCATTACATAAAAATTCAAAAAATTATTTTGATTTTATGTTAAAAGTTTTTTTTATCACAAGTTACATGGCTTTTTTTTTTCATCATAAGTAATATGCGGTAGTGGTGTTGTGGTAAAACGCTCGCTTTATAAGCGAGAGGTTCCGAGTTTGATCCCCACCACGTCCCTGGTAGTACCGCGCTCAACTTGTTTCTCCGCGCAGCGGCCTTGTTTGTCAGGGTTTGTGTTTCGGAGTTATAGAGTTGAGAGAGGGTTATAACCACTATTAAGTAACCTCCTCATCTGTAGTGGCCTTCTCGGCCTTGAGGAGGTGAATAACAACAACAAAAAAAACAAGTTACAAGGTTTTTTTTTATCATAAGTTACAAGGCTTTTTTTTCATCATAAGTTACAAGGCTTTTTTTTGGTCATAAGTTACAAGGTTTTTTTTCATCATAAGTTAAAAGGCTTTTTTTTTCATCATAAGTTACAGGGCTTTTTTTTTATCATAAGTTACAAGGTTTTTTTTTCATCATAAGTTACAAGGCTTTTTTTATCATCATATTACATTGGAAACAAAGTCAATTTTTAGAAACATTCAAATAACTTTAATTAACTTTTTTATTAAATGTATGTGTTTTTTATTTTGTTTTTAATTTTTTTGCTTATAAACTTTATTTAACACATTATTTTTGTTTATAAACTTTAACACATTATTTTTGTTTATAAACTTTATTTAACACATAAAAAAAAAAAAGATTTAAGTTTAATTTAACTTTATTTATGATTTCAATCTTGTTAATTAGTTTTATAGGTTAATTGTTAATATACTTAGGTAACTTTACATACTCAGGATACTTTTGTTAATATATATATAATTTTTTTGTTATTCACCTCCCCAAGGCCGAGAAGGCCACTACAGACGAGGAAGCTACTTAAAAGTGGTTATAACCCTCTCTCAACTCTATAACTCTGAAACACTAACCTTGACAAACAAGGCCGCTGCACGGAGAATTAAGTTAAGCGGGTACTACTAGGGACGTGGTGGGGATCAAACTATACTCAGGTAACTATGATATGTTTTGTTAATATACTCAGGTAATTATGATATGTTATTTTTTTTTTTTATGGAATTTGTGAAAGCTTGTTGAAAGCTGTAAAATATTTTATATTATAGATAAATGGTTCAATTTTGCTAATGGTGTTGATACAAATAGTCAAACTTAATAACAGTAATAAGCTTTCTAACAACTTGAGGTAACTTAAGGTCTATTGCTTACTTTTTTCTTTCTTACAAACATGTTGCAGAGTGGCCAGACAACTGGAAATCAGGGAAAAGTTAGGGAATTTTTTTCTAGTCAGGGAAATTAGGGAATATCAGGGAAAATAAATCCCTTTTTCAAGTTTTTCAAAACAACAATCAAATAAAAGTTAATATTAATTTTGCCATACATTCATAAAATTGTATGGAAAAATAAAATATGAATGCTTTATATTATTACTTAAAGTTTGTTACATATCTTTGAAATATATAAATCTATTGAAACATGATTTTATTTAACTTTATTAATACAATGTTAATTTTTTCCAGGTAAATATTATAGAAATAGTAAAAATGTCTAAAATAGCTTACTTTGATAATGACTGGATCTTGAATGTCATCCATCATGGGGTTGGCTTAAGAGAGCTGATGATAAAAGAAAGGGTATGTGTAGTGTGTACAGTTATAATGGCAGTCAAAAGTCATGAAAAAGGCACAAAGCATTTAAAAAATATATCTTTAACAAGTCAACTATCAGTATTTGATTATTTTACTAACAAGTCATTGATAAATACAGTATCACAAGTAACTGTTTCATCAATATCTCTTTAATAGCCTCTGAATTATTGCCATAAGCATTCTATGTAGCCAAATCTTCTCAACCAAGGCCAACCGTTTCAACAAGTTCTTTCAGCACAACAGCACCACCTTTCAGTTTATTTTTGGCTCAAAATGATGTATCATATTCTGAAATACTTTGGGCACTATATGTTACACAGCAGCATTTCTCTTACAGATCATGTTTAAAAATAAGACAACTGTTTCAGTCTATGTTTTCTGACAGTTTTATAGCTAAAAATGACTATTGGGAAAACTAAAGTAGCCTATAACATCACACATGGCCTTGTCCCAATATAATATCACACATAGTCTTGCCCCATATTTCCATGATCTTGTTTTAGAGGCGGTGTTAATATCTACACACATAGTTCTATGTTTTAGAGGCGGTGTTAATATCTACACACATATTACTATGTTTTAGAGGCGGTGTTAATATCTACACACATAGTTCTATGTTTTAGAGACGGTGTTAATATCTACATAGTTCTATGTTTTAGAGGCGGTGTTAATATCTACACACATAGTTCTATGTTTTAGAGGCGGTGTTAATATCTACATAGTTCTATGTTTTGATGAGTCTTTAAACAAAGTTGTTCAAAAAGATCTTATGATCTTTTTGAACAACTTTTGATCTTATATCTAATGGTTATTCATTATTGGGATGTTATTTGCAACCATGTGACTACAAGAACTTTTCATCAGTATTTCTTGGTCATGCATCTGCAAATGATTTATACAAAGGTTTTACAAGTATTTTAAATAAAAATTTTCCAGCCAAAGTTTTAAAAATTTCTATGGATAAACCAAATGTGAGTTGGAAGTTTTTAATATTCTCAATGATGAATTTGGTAAAAAGTTAGAAACATCTATTCTTGAAATGGGATCATGTGGCCTACATGCTGTACATGGTGCATTTCAAGCAGGTCATAAAAAAGTGAAATGGAATGTTAATGCAGTACTCAGAAGTTTTTACAAACTTCATGATAGTCCTGCTCGTACGGCAGATTATCAAACAATTTTTGGAAATGATAATTTTCCTCTAAAATTTTGTTCAACAAGATGGGTTGAAAATGTATCTGTATGTCAAAGAGCTTTAGATATTTATGATAATGTAAAGTTGTATGTCATGCAGTCTAAACTACCTATTAATTATTCTGTAAACATTGTTACTGATGCTGTCAATGATCTTCTGATGCATGTTAAAAATGCTTTTTTTTTCAATATTTGGGTTCAATTGTAGAGCCATTCCTAAGATTCCATTTTTATATCAAGAACTTGAAAAGCTAATGATCTCTCATGCAAAACTTTATTAAAAAAATGTATTGGAGGAAATAAAATCTATTATAAAGCTAATGAAAATAGACTTAACCGCACACAAGTGTCACCAAAATGAAGTTAACATTGGTATTGAAACTTATTCTCTACTTGGTAAAATAAAAATAAGTGAATGTCAGAAGTTACAGTTTTGAAGTGATTGTATTCAGTTTTACATTGGAGTTGTTGATAAACTCTAATGTAAAACTTGAAGTCCTTTAAAGTATAAACTTACAAGAGCGATCTCAGCTTTAAACCCCATTATTATATGTTCTAATTTTGACTCAGGAAAAAACAGAATGACTGATTTACTCACAATTCTTCATGACTCTAAATAGATTAATGCTACAATAGTTAATAAGGTCAATAATCAGTATCAAGATTTGTGTGATCTTGGGAAAGGTGTCCATAGATTAGAATTCACAAGTTAAAGATGAAGATAGGTTGTATGTTTTTTCAACCCTTTTTATAAGCCAGAATTTTAATAACTTATTTGAAGTATCCAAAATTGTCTTTACTTTGTCACATGGTAATGCACAGGTTGAAAGTAGGTTTTCTATCAATTCAGATGTTCTTGTTGAAAATTTGCATGAAAGCACTGTGGATGCCCAAAGACAAGTTAATGATGGAATTCACCATGTTGCTGGAGTTTGCAATGTGTAAATAACAAAATCAATGATCAAAAGTGTAAACATGTCTAATTCACACTACAAAAACTCATTAAAATGAAAAAAAGAAGAAAAATTGCAAGAAAAACAAGACTGTATTGATAAAAAATTAGCTCTGCAGAAAATTAAAGAATTAAATGCTAAAAAAACAAAGATAAATCAACATCATCAGGAAGATATACGTGAGATTGAACATGAATTAAAAATGCTATCATGCAAAATGGATTATTTTTGTTTAAAAAGATTTAAACGATTTTGTAATTTGCTGTTTTATTATTAAACTTTTTGTTTTTAATTTTATAAATTTTGAAGCTTAATCTGCTCCAGTGTTTTAATTTATTTCTATTTATTGTCTGAAGTACTAAATACTAGTAAAAAACTTCACTTTATAGTAATAATATAAAAAAGTCTGAAGTCTAAATTATGATTCTGTAACTTATATAGTATAAGAATATAAAATTATATATACAATATATAATATATATCTTTTATATTATTTTTTTCTTCATAATATCTTTGATATTAAATTGGGAAGCATTTACAAATAAAAGTTAAAAAACTTAAAAACTCACATTTTAAAACTGAATCAGAGAAAAATAGAATAAGTTAGGGGAAAGTGAGGGAATTTAATTGTACAAAGTGCCTGGCCACCCTGTGTTTTAACATGTAAAAAATTTACATACAAATATGTTGTAATGTTGTATAATAAATATTTTGTATTTATTTATAAACATTAATTCCTATGTCTTTTATCTTTTAATTAAGAAGTTTCTAAAGTTAGTTCTATTTTGTTAGAGCTGGGTTTCGATCTTCCATTATTTTGCTGCCAATTCTTGGTGTGACTTGGATTTTTGGATATCTTTCTTTTGGAAGTGAAACTCTTTTTTTTCAATATATTTTTGCTGTATTAAATTCTGCTCAGGTATCTTGTTTGTGCTTTGTTAATATATTGAAGTGATAATTAAACAAACAGTTACAATTAAACAGTGAAGTGACAATTAGACAGTTACAAACAGTTCAGATTTAGATAACTTGATCCTTCAATTAAAATTGTTAACCAATTTTAATTGAGCAATGAAAAAAATTTAAATTTAAGATAATTGTTTAATTTTTTAATACTACTTTAACTTTACTTTGGTTATTTGATTACTTGACTTGATTTACTTGACTTGATTATTTATTTGTACTGATGTTCGTAACTAAGTTATCTATAAAAGCATAAGTTTGAAATGATAGGTTTGCTAATCAAGCATAAATTTGAAAAGGAAGAAGCTTAAAAACCTTTATGGTTTTCTGAAGCAAGTATTAGTTTTCAACGCCTAAATTTAATGATAGGCTACTCAAAAAGAAATTAAAAAGAAGCAAAATGGAAAGTTTATAAACAGATGGTTGACAGTGGAAGGAGTCAATCAATCAGCAGTGGAAGGAGTTAAACAATTAGTGGACAGTTGACGAAATCAAACATTCAGTGGAAAGTGATATGAGTCTAAAAATTAGGTAAAAGTGAAATGAGCAAAACAATCAGTGGACTGTGTAATGAATTAAAAAATCAGGGGACAGTTAAAGGAGTCGAACTATCCAATAAAAATGGAAGGAGTCAAACAGTCATTATGAAGGTGAAAAAAAAAATAGTAATAAAAATGTTTATGCAAAACATTTTATCAAACTTAAAACAGAATTTTAGTTTAACAAAAAGTTTTAATTTAAAAAAAATTTTTCAAATTTAAAACATTTTATCAAACAAAAATACTTTATCAAACTTTAACAGAATTTTAAAAAAGATGTATGAAAGAATTTTACAGACAGTCAATTTCTTAAGATATTATTTATTATTAATTTATTATGAATTATATGTTGAAATAATAATTATTTTAAACTATAACTGTTTAACAATTACTAAAACATATTAAACATATTTTAAAAATTGTTATTTTTACATTAGTGTTGTTTTTTATTTAAAAAACTTTTTAAATTAAAACAATAAAATCTTAGTTCCTTAAAAATTTTATTTTAATAAAGTGTAAAAAAAACTTTATTGAAGTTAAAATGAAAATAATTGCTAACTTTTCAAAATCAAATACTCGAGTAAAATTAAAATGAACATATATAAAAAATAATTGCTAATTTTTCAATTCAAATGTCAACAAATTTTAATAAAACATTTTTTATTTAGATTAAATCTTAAAATTTTTTAATTAAAGTTGCATTATTTTAATTAAAGTTGCATATGCAAAGTAACATGCGTTCACTTGGAATTTTATGCATGAGATAAGTACAGTTTCTAATATATTGGCATAACATTATTTTTCATTAAAAAATTAAAATCTTCTATTCATAGAAATATAGATATATTTGTTTACTCTCCGGGTTTTATTTAAAGCAAAATTTGCAATGACCTTGTTCAATAGATATAACTAAGAGATTCTAGACCAAGCTTACTGAAAGAAAGCTCTCCTTTGGCAATGGAAATGAGAATTGTGTTAAAAATACATAACAAAACGCATATTGATTCAAAGATAGACTCTAGACCTTTTTAATAGATTCCATTTAATAGCTTCATTGAAGTGAGATATTCTTTTGGAACGAAAAAATTGGCGTGCTTCAGTGTATCCAGATGATGGACCTCCAAAATAAATTTGTCTTCTCTTAAAATAATTCAAACAATAATCAATGGGTGACTGGTAAAAACATTTATCTAATTCATGTCAGTGTTATCCACATTTCAAAGTAAACCCGCGTTACCTAATAATAGCCATTATTTTTTTAGCAAATTTTCATTATTGAGTTAAATAATCGTTGCAACGTTAAATAGAAATATAGATATATTTCCAGAAGGAAAAAGTCGATTTATTCATAGATAGAAAAAACTAAATATTTTAGACCAAAAAAGTTAGATTAGATTAAAATTTATTAAGAGTGATACATGTTCTAAAGGACACGCAGGTCCATTAAATATGAAGGATTCTGACAACGTGCTCTACAATCACATAATACATATGCTAGATAGTTTAAAATGTATATTACAATTATATATAAAACCACAGTTATAAAACAAAAACTAGTTAGCCGGAACAGTATTTTTCAAAGTCGGTTTAATTTTAATTTCGAAGCTCTTTATATTTTTGGCATTCATGACGTCAAACGGCAAGTTATTCCAAATATTAACAACCCTGAGTGAGAAATACTATTTACAGACATCGAGTTTACATTTTAGTTTGCGTAATTTGAAATTATGTCCTCGAGTGTAAATATAGTTGTTAAATAAAAAAAAACTTGATTTATTTAGGCAAACTAAGTTGTTCAGAATTTTGTAACATGTAATCATGTCTTGCTTGAGGCGACGAATTTCTTGTAGTTCCAAACCAAGAATTCTAAGTCTGTTTGAATATGAAAAGTTTTTTAGGTTAGCAATTCTCTTGGTAAAATGTCTTTGTACTTTTTCCACTGTATTGTTCATTTCAGTGCGATTTGGCAACCAAATCGGAGAGCAATATTCTAAGATCAGTCTTGTATAAGTAGTGTGAGCTTTAACAATAACACAAGGATCACAACTTTTAAAACACTTACAGATTAGATATCCTCGAATGTTTGATGCATGTTTCATGCACGACGTTTGAAATATGATTATTGTAAATTAAGTAAGAATCCATGGCCACATCAAGATCTTTTGGGTTTGTAGACCAGGTTAAATTATGATCTCCTATTTGATAGTTGTAATCTTTACAAAATGAAATAGGTGCTATTCTATGAGTAAAGCACTTATTATTGGCTACTAACTACCATTTTTTTTGACCAAAGATAAACTTTATAAATGGCTACAGCAAGATTGTTACTGTAATCGGCATCCTTAAATGAACTATATAGCTTGATATTGTCAGCATATAACATTAGGAAGCAATTAAGATCTTTTACTATAGAGGGTAGATCATTAATATATAACAAGAATAACTTTGGACCCAAAATATTAACCTGTGGAACTCCACTTAGGATGCTGGTCAGATTGGATAGTGAATTTCCAACCAGAACCCTTTGATATCTGTTAGAAAGAAATGCTGATATCCAATGAAGCAGATTATCTATTATGCTATTATGTAGTTGACTCTAGAAGATTTGTGCAAACCCTTTCTAGCTTAAACCTTCTCTGTAAAACTAAACAAGGTCAAAATTAAGTGAAATTAAAATACGATAGCTTTAAATTAACCTTACAAATGTCACTGACTGACTGATGTTTAATTTTTTATACTTTATTTTTGTGCAGTACAAATTTTAATATAATGCCACAAATAAATTTTAGATAAATCTTTGAACAAAATGTTTTTTAGGGTTTCTTGCTTACTTTATTTCATTGCTTTCTTAATGAAGAGGTAGTTATAAATTTTTTTATTTTTATAAATGTTGTTATTTATATTTAGTTTCATTTTAAGTCATAGAAAATAAAAAATTTGACATTACTTTTGACTTTTTAATTTGCTTCAGAAAATCATGAAAACCTTCATGATTTTCTAAAGCAAGTATTAGAAGCAAGTAATAGTATTTCAACAGTTACCTAAACCTCAAAATCTTCTATAATTTATATAGATACATATTTGCTGACTTTTTTTACTGCAAAAAATTAAGAATAACAAAATAAAACAATAAGACTCTTGATATTCAGTTGATGTATGAACTGAAGTTATAATATGTATACTAGCAGTCTTGACCCATTAAAATTAAGGTCTATTCTATTCCACACTGAACATTTCTGGAATGTTAAAAATGAATAAAAATGTCTGGTGTTGTTGCATGTGCTTGAATAGTTAGAAGAGTACTACAAAAGCACAATAACATATAGGAAGCTGCTTGCAAAAATCTAAATATTTATCAAAAAAAGCAAAAAAAAAGAAAAAACTGTTGTTTAGCTCATATAATTTGGTCGAAGAGCATGTGGCACAACATTATTTTTAAGCAATCAAATGAATCTTGATGTTGATTCAAGAGAAAAACCAAGTAATGCTGAGAAGAACACCACATACAAAAATGGACCCATATTGTTCGATGTACAGAACAAAACAAGGTAGTGGTAGTATAGGCATCAGGGATTGCACGAACTTTGAAGGTGTTGGTTGTTTCAAACTATTTAATGGAATACTATTGACATTGACATTATCTGAACAGACATGGAGTTTATTTTCCAACAAGATAAATTTCCACCTCATACTGCTAAAATTTGCAAGCAATGGTTTGAAGAAAGCAATATTAAAATTGTGTCTTAGTCTGCCCATAGTCCAGATTTCAATTGCAAAAATAATTTGTGGTATTGGTTAGACCACAGTTTTGGTAAAACTGAAGTAGAAGATCTGGACCAGCTTAAAGGAGAATAAACAAAATTACTAATAGAGTTTCAAAAGACATTACTCAAAATTTAATGAATTTCATGTGGAAACAAAAAAAAACATTTTTGAAAGTATTCTGCTCCAACCCCCTAAATGTGTTCTAATACAAACCCACTAGGTTAAAATTTTTTTTGAATAAAAAATATTATGAAAATATTTAAATTTATAATTATAGAATATTTAAATTTGTAAATATTTAAATATATATATTTAAAAAAAAAGGTTTTCAAAAATATGTCAACCTGGTACTCAAATGAAGCAAAATTGTATAAAAATTTCAAAAATGATGTTTATTTAAAAAAAATTTTAACTTGTTAAAATTATCATAAAAAACATAAAAAATGCATTGTTTTAATTTTTTGTTTAAAATAAAACCAAAATTAACAATTTTATTTCGTTGACATATTTAAAAAAAAAAATTTTTTAATTATTTAAATATTATGTTTAACGTTTAAATATTAGGGACCCATTAAATATTCAAGGGTCTTGAGGGACCCCTTAAAATATTTTTTATTCAAAAAAATTTTTAAATCTAGTGTATTTGTATTAGAACACATTTTTGGGGTGGGAGCAGATTATTTGTTGTTGTTTTTTGGGACACTTGTTTTTATTTCAATATTTTAGTTTAAAATTTTTTTTATTATTATTTATAAAAAATTTATATAGTGATCATTTGACTTATTTCAATATAAAAAAAATTTAAGAAAAAATCTCCTTTTGTTTTTAAAATATTAAATTTCAAACTTGTATTATATTTACTTTGATGGATTGTTATTAATAGCCAATACTGTATAGATTTATTTTGTATTTAGCTAGTCAAAGTTCAGTGTGACATCACAGGGCTTATATAAGCATGCATATATATATATATAATATATATCATTAAAATATATATATATATATATATATATATATATATTTATATATATATATATATATATATATATATATATATATATATATATATATATATATATATTTTAATGATATATATTATATATATATATATATATATATATATATATATATATATATATATATATATATATATATATATATATATATATATATATATATATATATATATATATATATATATATATATATAGTCTTTTTTTTCGACTTCAATATATTAGAATATATATATATATATATATATATATATATATATATATATATATATATATATATATATATATATATATATATTCTAATATATTGAAGTCGAAAAAAAAGACTTATGTTAAAAAAAAGTCTTTTCCAACAACATTAAAATGACTTCAACAATTAAACAACATTTTAATGTTGTCTAAAAGTTAAAACAATTAAAATAATGTGGAAGTACATTAAGTTTTATTGTTTTTAAAAAACCCCAATAATAATGACTAGAAAGTTTTTTAATTAATAGTTTTTGTTTTTTTAAAACATATTTTTAAACATGCGTAGAGTGTTGCTACATTGGTTATCTTATAACCAACTGCTAAAAAGATGTGCTGCTATATCGACTATCTTATCATCTGCTGCTACAAGAGAGTGCTGCTACATACACTATCTTAAAACCTGAGGGTTTGGTTTGGCCAAGCAATCTATCAATGAAAAAAAAACTTTATTCAAGTTTTAAACTTTTTTTCTGCTTTAGTTTTACATAAGATAAAAGTAAAATAAAAAAAAGGATTGCTGTTCTATGCTAAGCCTGCGGGTTCAGCACTCTTTTGCAGCACCAGGCTAAAACATAGTTTATGTATGTACTGAAGCCCTTGGCAGCAGGCTATTTCAGTTTTATAGCTTCATATATTCATAGTTAATTGTATTAAAAATATATACAAGATGTTGTTAATTCAATTTTTAATACAAAAATAAAGTTTCATTTGAGGTGAACGACTAAGGTACATAAACATGTTATCTTGATACTAATGTAACTTACGTTACATTACCATGCAATTTATTTAGAAATGCAACTCTAGGATTCCGAAAAAACCGTTTTTATTTCTTTTTAAAAACATAATTTAGAATATGTTATGGTTTATAGGTCATTTCATCCCAAATAAACTAAAATTTTAGGATTTCAACCACTTCAGGTTTTAATGAAACTTGATGGGTTGGTTTATGTCAATAAGAAAAGTAATTCCTAAAAATTTCAGCATAAAATCTTTTGTGGTTCATGAGATATGGTCATTTAAAATTTCTGATTTTTCAAAAAATAAAAACTTAAGTAGCAAAAACTTGTTTTGTTCATAATTTGATTTATAAGAAAATAAGATGATTTATATTTTAAAATGCCAGCGTCATTTTTAGAGTAAAATAAATCAGATTTTGCAATGTGAAAATAATATTTTACAATTAATTGTTTTTTATCATATGACATTAGAAAATATGATAAATTTTGGAACCATTTATTATTAAAAACATTTTATTTTATAAACTTTAATACGCCTTCTTCAATACTTATGTATTAAAGATTGACAAAAAAAAAAAAAGATCATCAGGTGTTACAATCAATAAAAAAAAACGTATAGTGCACAGTGAAAATGTTTTAATAAAGTTAAAATGGCTAAAAATATAATTGTTGTTTTTATGTGAATGGTAAAATAATCAATAAGTAAATAAAAATATACTCCTAATTTTTGCCTTTAAACCAGCTTATGGAGGCAGCAAGGGGGAACACATATCCAGAGGTACCCCGAGGGTATTAATTGGATTTTTAAAGTTTCAAAGTTTTTTTTTTTTTTTTTATTAAATATAAATTTATTGACAGGTTTTAACTTTCATCAAATAATCTTTTATTGTCTGAAATTTAAGTCCATGTAAAGTTTACAACCCCCTCACTTTGGGGAGGAAAATTAAAACCTGTCAATAAATTTAACTTTATTACAAAATAGTTAAAAAAAATAGTCTATTAACTCATTCCCTCTTACATGCAGGATAACTTTTTTGGGTATTCATGTTTCCAAGCTCCAATGATTGGAGTCTAATCATCAAAGTTTTTTTAATTTTTTATTTAATATATTTTTTTAATAAATTTACATAATAGAGAAATAACTATAAAGTTATACATTTTAAATAGTTCAGAACTTTTTTTGTCTATATCTATATCTAATTCTAAATTTTCATCAACATTTTTAACATTCAAATATAGTTCAACTAAGACATTAATTTTATCTGATTTTATGCCTGATGAATTTTTTCCATCACTATATTATACTGCAAACAAACCTTTGAGTAGACTCAAAGATTTCTTATTTTTTAATCAATTAATGAGGTTGAACTTAAGGGGATCAGAAGTATGTATAGTTTAAATGAAAGTTTCTGCTTTTTTTCCTTTCATGGTTTTCATTATCGAATATTTCTAAATTTTATGTAGACTTCCCTTTCTCATTAAACCAAGTGAAACTGGTGAGTTAATGATGGTTTTACTAGCATGTGCTAATACTTTGTAAATGGAAGCTGCAATCTTTGAACCAGTCATATGCTTTTAATAATTTCTTACATGCAAAATTGCAGTATTTATTAATTTTTTTGGAATAAATGGGGTCTTTAAAATTGATTGACATTAGAATGTTATGTGAACCAAATAATTAACTCATCAATTTCTAAAGTTTTCTGAGTAATAAATGTTCAAAAAAATCATCAGTATTTTTGTTTATTCTTGTTTCTAACTGAATTCTTCAAACATCCCATCATAAATAAATTTTTTTCTTAATAAATTTTGATCATTTAAAACCTTTTTTTCTGTAGTTTAACTTTGTTTCAGTAACTTCAATGGATGTTTTTGAAGGAGAGCAATTCTTTTTTTTTTTTTTTTGTGGAAAATACTTGATAAAATGGAAATCTGCTTGGTGCTTCATTGTATTAATTCTAAACACTTTTTGTAAGTTTATTTTCTCCTGCAACGTTGTTGAATTTTGCCTCTTTGTAACTAATTTAGAGTTGTTTGTTGACCTCCATTTTCAGATAATTGTTTTGATTCAAGTTATTTGTTGTAAAAACTGAAT